CGCGCCATTGAACTCCAGCCTGGGTAACATGAGTGAAACTCCGTCTAAAAAAAAAAAAAAAAAACAAACATACAGTGAAGCCTTCTTGGAGAAGACAATGACAGGAGAGCCGTGGGACCATGTTTGGCTATGTCGACAGTCAGGGTTTGGAAAAATGCACCATTATTTCTCTAACTCTGTAGATTCATGGAGAAGCTGTAATGTCCTTCATTTAAGATTTTAGTGTCTTTCATTCAGGACATGTGGCTGCTTTAGGATTGCTAGATTTGGCAAATAAAAATACAGGACACCCAGTTACATTTGAGTTTCAGGTGAACAAAGAGTATAACTTTTTAGTATATATATATATATATTTTAGTATGTAGTGTTTGAGAAAATCACACGTTAAAAAATTATTCACTGTTAATTGGAATCTAACTTAGCTGTGTGTCCTGTATTTTGTCTGGCAACCCCAGCCTGTTTAGAGCAGAGTTTCAATCAATGCCTTGGGACATTGGAATATCGAAAACAATACCCTCTGAATTGTGAGGGTGCATAGCAACTCTGGGTAAGTGTGTGTGTTAAAGGTATTGAAGGGATGGAGATGGGAAGGCACAAAACTTTGGAATAGCAGGGACAACAGAGAAGAATTTTCTCTTTGTATGTCAGGGACAATTTACTCATAAGTTTCAGGCTGAAAAACACTGAAGAAGCCTTGTGAAGGGAAAATTTTTTATGATAAATTGATTTTTTGGCAAAAACTCTTTTTTTGCCAAAAATATTGTAGAAATTGCTTCTTGCAAAAATTTCAAACTGTACAGAAAGGTGTAAAATGGAAAGCAAAAGTATCAAAATCTCTCATTATCACCCCCAGAAACTACCATTCTTAACTTTCACTTGCATATCCTTCCAGGACTTTCTTGGTCATAGATTAACATGTGTCTACATATGAATATTTTTAATTTCAAAAATGAAAATATGTATTGCATACTTTTGCAAATTACTTTTATTTTCACTTAACAGTATATCTTAGATATCTTTTCCTATGTGCCTGTATGGCTATACCTACTTCGTTCCTTTTTAACAACTGTATTATAATTCATTAAATTATGAATTATTTTTATTAATTCAAGGAGCACCTAAAAATGCTTTATCTGTCCAGAGCTTTATATAAGTGTTTGCTTTTCACGATTTAATATTGAATTTAGCATCAATACTTGGTATCAGTCCAACAGTATCTCCACAGAGAGGCATTCCCTGTTTTCCCTAGGAAAAATAGCTTTGCCCCTAAGCACACTCTCACTCTTCCTAACAAATTACCCTGTGCTGTTTTTCTTAATTGGCATTTATCTCTATCTGAAATGCTCTAATATATCAAATTGTTTATTTATTTATGCATATCTGTCTCTCCCCACTAGCCTGAGATTGCAAAACATACAGTGGGTATGCGAAACATATCTGTTAATGGATGAATGATCAAATGATTGCATTGAACATACTGTGGCATATAGAACGGCAAAGAGGCACGTGATGAACGAATCAGGCAGCAAATGAAACTCAAGGCATACTGTTTTAAGGGATAAAATCAATTCTATGGGAGCTCATTGAAGGGAGTAAATCATTTATCACAGACAAAAAGGAAAGGCTTCATGGGAAAGTGAATTAGAAGTGACAGTATAAGAATGAGAATGACTGACAGGTAGGGACTGTGGGAATGGTAGCACAAGGTAGAGAACGTGTCTAGACAGAGTTTGGAGGCGGGTGATTGCCTGGCATATTTGGGGAGAGGTGTCTTTGCCATCATGGTGGGAGCTTGAGATGTGCATGGGGAAGGCAGAGTGGATTGGGGAGGGATTCAAATGCTATATTGAGAGATTTCGATCGTTTTACTCTAAGCACTGGGAAACTATTAGGGATTTTTAAGGTGGGGAGTGATTGGTTAATTATATATTCTAAGAAGGTAATATTGTCAGCAATGGAAAGATTTGCTGGAGCAGGGAAAGACTGAGGTGAGGAAAAAGCATTAAGAGAAGATAAGGGCAAGGGTCAGACAGGTTGGAATGACTGACTTAGTCAGGTGGGGAATTAGCTGTGTTTGATGCCACTCATCAGGATCAGTAATCAGCAGACAGTGGCCTATGGGCCAAATCTGGCCCATTGTCAATTTTTGTAAATAAAGTTTTATTTGGAAATAGTCATGTACATTCTTTTACATATTGTCTAGGGCTGCTTGGTGCTCCACTGGCAGACTTGAATAGTCGCGATAGAGCCCTCATGGCCTGCAAGACCTAATATATTTGCTACCTGGATCTTTACAGAAAAGGTTTGCTGGTCCCTGATTGAGATGAACAGTATCTATATCTCTCTCATGTAGGTCTTAGATGCGGAGATCATTACCATCTTAAAAGAGAGCAAGGTTTGTGCCTGTCCCCTGGAAACCAAGAGTCATACTTTCCCATCAACCAGCTATTCCTCTTTGCCTCGAGCTTTGTCTTAAGTTCCAGTGAATTTAGGAGCCACGAAAGCCCCAAATCTCAGAAACGCTAAGATTTAGCCCAGAAAAGCTGATTGGGAAGGAGACTGTATCTCCAGCCAAAGGCCAACAGCTTAACCTCCCCAGGATTCCATCTTTGCCTTTGCAAAGCCCACCAGGTCGCCCCTGTTAGGATGTTGCCTCCTTGTCATCACAGCTGCATGCAGCCGGTGTCCTATCTTGGCTTGCCCTTCCTCCAAGGACAATTCAAAGTTCTCGAATTTTCCTTAGCAAGAAGACAACAGCAGTGAAATAACACCCTTTCAAAATGCAGATGAGTTTCTACATTCACATGCACGTGGACTCCTCTCTCAGTCTGAGAGTGGGAAACCTCACATTCTCAGCAGATAGCCTTTGACCAGCATCTCATGTGTTAGGATACCTGTCATCTGATTGATGCTTCCAAGATCCTGGTTGAAATCCCTTTGTTTCCGTAGTCTTAAGGATATGCCTTCGTGTTTTATGTTTTAAATTGAGTCTGTGGTTGTGTCATATAAAATGGGTTGACATTTTCAGCAAGTTAAAAATCCACCAAAACATCATTCCTCCATTAGTAATAGTGACGTGAACTTTCCATTTTGGTGAATGGCCCGACAGTTCCTCGCTTCAAGGTGTTGAGTGAAATGGGAGTTTCCTTGCTGACTTTTCTCAGCTTGTTTTTTCCCTTGATTTACCCACTTGAAAATTATTGCTTGCCTATAAATAGCTCCTAGTTATTTCTAAAGTCAAGAGTTTGTTTGTAGGTTGTTTACTAGGATGTCATCAGCCAAACTGCAGTGTCAGGCTGCTCAGGGGAAAGCTAATTTCCTTTTGAAAATTGCAATTCTGAAAGCTTCACATATTTCATCTCCATCATCAATAGGAACCAAAGTACATGTAGCTTCATGCTGAGTGATATACCAGCAAGCTAAATAAAAATGATCCCACTCTTGCAACTTAAAATAGGTAACATTGGTGTGAACTGACCCTGATGTGGCACATACGAAATTAACTTTCAGGATCTCTGAGCCATCATCATCCTTCAACAAGAGGCTTGGGTGACTGCCAGTCAAGAGAAGCAAGCCATATGTATTAAGATCTCTTTGAAGAGAGGAAAGAGGCAGTATTTTCAAATAAGCTCCAAATTGAAAGTGACAAGGGCAGATGCTTCAATTTACAGGCAATGATTTGCAAAAGAGCTGTTTGATATATAGGCAGCTCTAGGTATCATGCTTCATGGTATACAGACTGAGTTGTGGCTCCCTATAAGGTGATTCTGCTTCCTTCCCACCCATCCCCACCCATCCGCAGCTCAACCCATCACCACCAGGGGACATTTGGCAATGTTTAAAGACATTCTTGGTTCTCACAAGTGGAAAGGAAGGTGCTGTTGGCATCCGGTGGGTAGAGGCCAGGGAAACTGCTAAACATCCTGCAATACACAGGATAGCCCTCCACAACAAAGAATGTTTCAGCCCCAAATGTCAATAGTGCCAAAGTTAGGAAAAACTGTACCTAGGTTTTTTTGTTTGTTTTTGTTTTTGAGATGGGGTCCTACTCTGTCGCCCAGGCTGGAGTGCGGTGGCAGGATCTAGGCTGACTGCAGCCTTGGGCTCAGGTGATCATCCCACCTCAGCCTCTCGAGTAACTGGGACCACAGGCATGCCACTGAGCCCAGCTAAGTTTTTTTAAATTTTATTTTTAAAAAAGACTTTGTTCATGGCTATTTATCAGATAAACATATACAAATTCATGAGCTTTTCCTATAATGCCATAAGCACCTAAAATAAACAGGGTTTCTCCATGTTGCCCAGGCTGATCTG